TATATATATATATATATATATATATATACATGAATAAATATAAACTTATTTATTCGTTCAATCTTAGTTAAAATATATAAGTTCAGCAACAAAAATACATACCTAAGATACAAAGTTTCTATCTAATATTTCAATTTCGTTTTGCGCTGATTTCTCCGCAGAGTAGTGTCATAGTTGTATTTACAAGCCATAAATATGATATGTCAAGTACATACTTAATAAATAATTGTGTAAAGTTTAAGATTCTTTTAAAATTAAGGGAAGTATTACTTCCTAAAGTCCTAAACAATAGATTCTTTGCCGATATGCTCGCATCTGTTTAACTCTTGAGGTGAACGTTGATCGAGTATGATATATAATGTACTTATTTAAAAGAAAGAAAACATGTTGAGGCGTGAATGTCCGATAAATATACAAAAAAATAAATGCTTCTCTACGTGAGAGAGTACTAACAATCAATTTAATATATAAGGGAGACGACTTCTCGTGCGGGTAGTGGTCGATAGGATTAATTATAATGTGGATGTTAGGGGAAAAACGATTAATTAAGCAAGTGAACAAATGAAAAAGAGAAACTCACAGAAAGAAAGAATGGCCATAAATATATATTTATAGTAACCAGGTTTTTGCGATTAAGAGTATATATTATGTTAATTAAAATAAACAAGAGTTATTAAAAAATTTTTCTTAATAAATGAAAGTTGCTGTTAAGTAGTTGTTTAAAAATAAAAGCAAAACATATAATGATTATGATATTAATAACGTGTTATTGGTAATTTAAATAATACAATTTAAATCATTTAAAGAAAGTAAATATTATAAATATCAGAAAACAACTTCAATTAATGAAGCGATTACTTGCTATAATTTTAATTTTTTAATTTTGAAGACTTAAATATTTTCAAAAAATAAGCACAGAAAACAAATAAATAAGAAAGCAAGAAACAAATAAATCAATTTAAATTTTAAATAAATTTTATTAAAGAATAATATTTCTACTTTTAATCTATTTGTCAAATTCAGTTAATAAGAGTTAAAAATTATTTTATTAACAGGAACTGATTATAACTCTAAAATTAGTAAGAGAACCTGTTATTAAGACTTAATATGTAAAATAAATTATTTTACAATGAAATAGTTCACATGAATGTGAGACATATCTAAGCAAATTAATGAGTGTATCGTTAATAGTAATATTAATAGAATATATCATTTGTGATAGCTTAACATGAGAAGTGGATATGGTACGTAAAAGTATTATTGAATGAATTTTTGTAGCCAAACTGCATCTTTTGAAAAGCATGCGTTTTAGGTGCGATAAGCCATGCAAATCTGAATTCTTGTATAATTATTTGCTTGATGAACAACGGAGCAAGAAAACAAGAAGTTTATAAGGTGCTGCAGAATGTTAAAACAAATCATCGTTGCTGTTGGATTACTGGACGCGTCAACTTCCGAAAAGAGAAGAGAAAGAGCATAGAAAAATTTTAACATTGATAATATCCTAGACTGTTGATTTTTGTTGTCGGACAATGATAAGCGCTGTGGGCCCTAGTGAAATATAAATTGTTTTAAGAGTTATATATAACACGGTGAAATAAGATTTTATTCGTAGCTCGCTCATTTGCAACAAGTAGGAGCAAACTTGGAGAGCACTTAAGTCTTATTGAGGTCTACTCGTTCTCGGAAATTCCTGACTATAGCCAGTTCAAGGCTCACTTCATCACACTTTCATTCCACCATGTAATTAAAACAAACAATTATTTTCATTTCCCTTATGCATAATAATTAATTTAATAATTAATTTATCGGTTAACATCAGAGAAATAAAATACGCTTTGCATCGAACAATTTATATATGTGCGATTCAAAGACTTACAACAGATATATAAAGACAAAATAATTGATATAAATAATCAACCTGAAATCCAAACTTATTTTTCCGAGTAATATTTATTCCGCCTTCAGCTTTCCGTTATAATAAATAAACATCACAAATACATCGTTAAATTGACATTTATTTATTACTTTATTACCAAATCAAATAAACATTGGTTCGATAATAATTGGCTTAGTTTTGATCTATTATATTACAGCTTAAATATTGATCGTGAGAGAGTTAATATTAATAGTGAATTGCATGTGAATTGTAATTGAAAGCTTTGCAGAGAAAATAGCCAAAAATTATATTTATGCATGCATCAAGCTACTTATTGCCTGCTTAAGATTAAAGTATGCTGATACAGTGTTAAGTATTCTTCATATAGAGGCTAGAAGCTATTGTTTTTGCAATAGTGGAAAACAAAGATGTATGCATAAAGGAAAGGTATACGTAAGACGAAAGCATGGACTGACGGTGGGGTAATGCTGTTTCGATGCTGCGAGATTGGTGGCGCGACTTCCGGTACCCCTAACGAGGACTCCTCAGAGTCCGCTGGACTGGTGGCGACCGTAGCCAGCTTGCCCCCCGCCCCGTCCAGCAACTTCCGGTGACCTCCGCCAATACCCCTGCAAGGATTCACAAAGCCATCCAAACTGGAAGCATAGCTACCGCATACATACACTATACACCCCGATTCGCATTTCTTTATTTGTACAGAAATAATCAGCTTTTAATTAGAATAATTAAATTCGGATTAATAACAATGATATTACTTCTGACAATGCGTTATTTTGTACTTCATGTGTTTATTCGTTGAGATGCAGTTTCAATTTTTCGTTACTTATTTTATTAATTTATAGAAAATTAAGAAAATGACTATAATATAAGATGGAGATTGAAGAAATCAAAACCTTAAACATTTTTGTTATTACTTTTCTAATTAATAACTCCCAGAATTTTCTTCTGCTATCTCTTTTAATTTATAAGATATTTATATTATGGTTAGGTTTAATTTTATTATTATGATAGCTGAGGAATTATTTAGTTAAGTCTCAATATAGTCTTGAAACGTAATAATAAACGTTAATAATAATTTTAATTTTGTAAAAAAAGTATAGAAAAAAATATGAAGACAGATTGTATATCTCGTGAGAATAACAAGGAATTTTTAAAGAAACACACATTCATTAATATTATGTTCATGTGTTAGATGTACACATACAATTCCCCTTACTGTGACATTAGATAACTTTCCTTACTTGGAACTGCCATGTAACGTAGCATATATTTAGTTAGCTCACATCAAAGGCATACAGAAATGATAATGGTTGAGCATAGTTAATGAAACACAAGTTATTGCACTCATATGATAAAAGTAAGATATAGGGAGATAATTAAGCAGCAGCGTAGTATTAAATTTGTCCAAAAATTCATCAATTTTTATTAAGTGAAATGTACATGCCTAAACAATTTAATATATCTGTTATATTCTTATATTACATGTATGATCGATCATGTACCGTTAATTTCTTGTGATATTAAATTTAAGCGAATCGATTACGCGTAAATGAGTTTTAGACGCGGACTTTTATTATTTGGTTATCATTATTTATTTTGTCTCAAGCATCACTCTACTCTCCAAACAAAATTAAATAAAAATTACAGCAAAATAAAAGATATCGAGAAAATAAATATGTAAAACAAATTAATTAAGTGATTAATATAAAGCAAGATTGATGAATATAACTTGATTGGAAAATATACTTTTAACTTTCTGAATACAGAAAACACGATGTGTTATACAAGGGAAAAAAACGCTAGGGGAATTGCTTCTTCGAACATCTGTTGGTTCGTTCAAGACGGAATCATCAATTACTCTGGAATGCCGGACATACAGCCGTTAACGATTTGTAAGTGAGATGACCTCACCTTCGAATAAAGACCATTTAATGCAAGAATAAAATGCAACACACCATCGACTAATCACAAATAATAATAATAATAAAACACAAATGTATTGTTGTAAATATTCACGGAAATATCTCCTTTCTAGATATATCGTGCCAATGTTTTTGTGGCAGAAGGATATTAATCATTCAAGATAAAGCCAGATATTGCGATACGTAGAATCGTTTCGAGGATTTTAAAACTGAAAATAGACAAAACACAAAAACGCCAGGGAAATAGGAGAATAGAGGGAAAGAGACTCTTCCGAGATCGTCTCCCGTAAAAGAATCGCTAAAAACTCGCTGATGAATAAAACCTACCTGAGGGTTTGAGCTGTCGTCGTGGGACGTAGTGGGGCTCTTTGATTGTCAGGCCTATGGAGAGGATCAGGAGAGGACACAGCTCTGGCCTGATCGACCAGTCGCAACACCGGGCTTGTTTTGCCCTTTTCGATGCAATCGCAGGTCTTCGACATGCTGCGCCAACCCGCGGCACTAATTCTCGACTTTGAGATTGGGAAGACGTTACTCTGTTGCCCATTACTCTCCTTGGCGATCGAGCTCATTATCACGTTACGTTCGTTACGCGCCTCAAAGCTGTTTCTCTCGTAATTCTTGCGCGAGTGTCGCGGTACATCTGGCACCCTGAAGATCCTGGGCGCTACCCGGCTGTCTGTGTTCGCGTCATTCCGACATTCGCGTGAATCACTGTCATTTAAGAAACCGTTCCCGATTTCGTAAAGCGGCTGCTTTCCGACCGAATAAATGTTCTTCGCAATAATGTCTACTTTCATCGGATCTTCCACGTCTGTTGGACCAATACGAGAGGAGAGAGGGCTCGACGCCGACCAGAATCGAGCTCTGGAGGCCATGTGCGACAGAGAAGATGGATGCAATGACAGAGGTTCGATACAGGTATCAGGTCGATAGGTAATCGGTTGTGTGGATAGGTTCTGAGAGGAGTTGAGGATTCGTGGTGCCCATACCGGCCAGGAAGGTGACCTATAAAGATCACAACACAAATGTACAAGCATGCAAAAATCATAAACTCATATAAATAAAGATAAAAAAAGAAAGAAAGACATACGTAAAGTAAAAAAAAGATAGAGAGTCCAGAGTCTCATGGTCGAGAAATTGAGAATGAAGAGATTGCTTGAGGCTGGAGCAAAAACATAAGATTTTCTCGCGTTATTGATTCGCTCTTTTGTTAATTATTTGTCAGATCGTTTATATATCGTCATATATAATCCTATTCATATTATTAATTTAAAATAAAAATAGTTGGCTATTTAAAAAAATACACACTATGATAAAAACATCCGGTTGAAAATGGATGAACTAAAAAATTCTGATTATATCAATCTGAATTCCGATTGTATCAATTAGAATTCTAGCAGATTTAACCAGACAATTTTGATTTGTCCATTTTCAACCAGAATTTCAATTAATTCAATCTGACATTTTTTTCAATGCAAGAGTTTGTTCAACAAGCAAGTTTTATCGATTAGCGTATATAGAAGGTTGATATCGTTAAAGGTCGAAGATAGTATATCTTTCTAGAGTCAAGATAAAGGCGAATAATATTTAAAGCAAGATATAGTGTAATAATTGTAGCTGAAGTATTTTATTAATAAAGCCAAGAGTCTTGCATTATTAAAAAGAAATTGTTAGTTTGTTGTGGTAAAATTATGAATGAAATATATTGATCATTTATTTATAATTCACGCGTTATTGATCATTTGCAGTTATTACTATAAACATACGTATTTTTTCGTGCAATTTTTTAAACCTTATTTTCAATTCATGCTCGTTGCTGTTATTACAGAAATAATAAATTAGGCAATTCGCAAGTAGATTAAAAGGAAAATGTGATGAACTAGGTATCGATAATCTTTCCATGTCATATAAGTGACAATTAAAATTCTATATAGGTTCCTATTTCAATTAAATGTAATTGAATGTGAAAAATAATGCAATATGAAAAGTTTAAATCGTTTTTGTTAATAGGGAATAAAAAGTCTAGACGTCATCGTTGATTATGCCCAACTTGAAAATATTTTTTCAAGATATAAACCTTCCTGATTGTTTTGTTTTATATTATGACATCAGATAACCTAAAGATTTCGAAAATTGTTCAAAAGTAAACGCATGAGAGTCGTCGAAACGCATGATAAGTCTTACCTAATGTGACCGCTATCACCGCTACTGCTCTGTCTGCTATGCTGACTGTGCGAATTTAAGGAACCATAGCCGGACCCTTTGCTAAGTTGACTCGTATTGCTGCTGTTGCGTGAGTGCCCAGATTCCGTGTGCGCCTCTACTAGAGCCTCCACAGGAACCGCCGAGGGTACTATTTCGCTGAGGGTCATCGGATCGTATGTTTCCGTTCCGCTAAGAAGTTCTAATTAATATATGAATCATTAAAATAATTTTCCTTTGTTCCCTTCTAGAATATATTCCAGGATCATATTTTGTAATTTTAGGCCTATATTATCTTTGATGCTTTGTACGTAGCTATTAATATGTACAAACGTTTTTTTATTATTATTAAATATGAAACCTGTTTTATGAATTATATATACTTTATATGTATATCAGATACGGCATAAAAAGCGAGCAAATTACCGGAAGTGAAGAGTGCGGGCCTCTTCTTAGGAAGACTGCCGAAACCACTGCTGGCACTTGCTATACTTCCCGCCAAAGAACCAGTAGATACATAATCCTCTCGATTAGAACATCTCTCGGATGCCGTCACTTCGTCACCGGTAACACCAGGTACACCTTGCACCCCGGGCACCGCCAATTGCGTTTGTTTCAATGATGGGGAAGGGCTGAGGCAATAATTGATTAATTTGTTAATCAAAAGGATGTCCATGTTCTTTCGATTAAAGTCGCAGGCACAGTTGTACAATAGAAATAAAATTACATCTAACTTTTAAAAAGAGCCTTAAAGAAAAGAAATTTTTTATAGCATAAAATAACCGGATTCTATATAGCCTAGTATGCCTTATTCGTTGTTTCTGGGTAATTACATGATAAATTTAACAAAGGCATTAGTAAATCGTGCAGATTGTCCGCCTGACTCAATTGTATCAGTTTATTGCTCAATTTGTTTATTCTGTTATTATCAGTAAAGCAAAATGCAGGACGTCGTAGTATATTTCGTAGGTAATTACTTTCTATAACTATCAAGAGATGGTTATTAATTTTCATAGTTCATATTATTATAACTCTGTATTCATATTTTACAACACTGTATTTAATTTATATTTTAATGTTGTGTTTATAAGCAAAGAAAAAAACTTTTTATAAGGTACTTTTCGTAAGATATAACCAATATTGGCCAATCCAGGCATGTTGAGTGTAACATTTTTTAAAAAATACTTTTGTTATTCCAGGTCATAGATTATAATTTATCTGTTAAACTGCTAATTGTAGAGATAAGTAGACAAATAAATAAGTAGATAAGTAGATTATTAAAACAGTTTCTTTGTGTTTTCTTATGTGTCAATATATTAATAAACTTATAATTTTTAATTTCTCTAACTTTTTTATGAAAAAGAGGAAAACTATATGTATACACAAAATAACTTAAATGCTACTTTTTCTTAAAATTTTCATTACAATCATGTAAATATTTGAAAATGTCTTAAATTTTTGTAATGTTCAAAAATATTTCCTCTTTTGAATCAGTTTTTAATTTTGGACTTAGTAAAAAATTAGAAAAAATTACAAAGCTTAAGCAGATATAGTTTGATTGCCTTATTTTCTGTTTCTGCTTTTTTCTGTTCTATACCACATTTTCGCGTGATAGAGAAAAAAAATAGCAGAAATGAAAAATACACTTTAAAGAATATTTTTCATTAAGGCTCCATTTAAAAGTTGGATTAGTTTAGATTTAAATTTATTGGACTTAAGTCTACTAACTTAATCCAATATACTAGCTTATCAAATTAAAGACTATTCATATTAAAGATTACACACATATCTACTATAATATAACAAATCAAGAATTTAAATTATAAATGTTTACATAAACATTCAACAATTTATAATAAAGCACTATTTCAGACAAACAGATAGTGTCTTACACTTTAAATAGGATATCTCCGGAGAGCATATTCATTTTTATGGCTACGCGCAGCATAGAATTATCCTGACGATGTCGCGCATCGTAACCCTCCAGGAGACATCTTCTTCGGCAGAAGCCAGCTCCTGCGAATTCGGCCAGGTTTAAATCGGTGAAGCCCAGTTTCTGGAAGGACCTGCCTCCTTTTAATTCCTGTTGCACAAAAGAACTTCATAAGAACATGTTTTTAAAGCTAACCACTTGTCTAATTACATTTACAATATATTTGTAAGAACGCGATAAAAATTAGTATTGTAGTAAAAAGAAATATATAACTTCAATGTATGAATATTCCGAATCTTTCCAAGAAGGAGATTCATACATTTGCATTTATTCGAACTAATTAACTAATTGTAAATAATAAAACTATTAGAATATTATTTAAACAAAATTAACAAATATTTACAACAAAAAATACAACTTTTATCTTTCACCATTTATTAATTTTTTCATATTATTTATTATAGTTTTATAAATAAAATAAAGAATTAATAAATCAGATAAAGATATTTTTCTTAATCAATTCTTGCTCTGTGGTATTTCGAGCGTGAGAATGTGAGTGAAGAGTAAAACGTTTGTGAAAACAAAAGTTGAGAAAAATCTCTGTCTTCCTTTCATTTCGTTTCTCAGCCCGGAGATATTCACACCTCAAAGAAGTTTGCTCTCACCTTTCTCACAGATATCCTTAAAATGCATGGATCGAGCACGCCCGTGGACGCGTTGGCGCTCATCTTGCATAAAAACTCGAACTTCGCGTTCCATCTCACCGTGTGCTCCTGCACTTCCTCCCTGTAAAGATAGACAAAGATTTCGGATGAAACGGGAGATTAATGTCTTCCCGTGTTATTCAGCGTGTTACTTTGATTGTTACTGAAAGTATACTAATTTTGCTTTCTCTTTCTCTCCCTTTCTCTAATAAGAGGAGGAGGGTATTTTCATTTAATATTACACACTCCTAATTTATGTAGATATTCAAACTCCTTGAAGTTTTATGCGATTTCAAAAATTGCACTTACAACGATAATTTTCATTAATTTTTTTACAAGCTGTGATCACAATTGTTTGTTTCTTAATTCTCATAGCAAGTTGACAGATCTCGCAATAAATTTTTGTTATCTTGAAATCTCTGTTTTAAATTGACTAGAATAATTTATTTTTTATCCATTGGTTCTCCCTGAAGTTCAATTCAATAAATTATTTTAATTATCATTGTTACAAATTCCTCACATTTCAATATTTTGTCAGTAGAACGTCTAGAGAAAAATAAATTCTGCATTCATGAGAAGATCTATGGCTGAAAGGAAATGCGTTCTATAGGACTGCTCGAATATACTCGGGGAAAATGCACTCTGGGATAGCCCGTGTACTCAAGAAAAATGCAGAGTAACGTTCGAAAATTCAAGTACTCAAGAATTCTTTTAACATTCGTGCTTTACCGAGAAATGCGATGAAATAAAAAAAGAAACGTTATCGTTAAAATAGAAAAAAATGTAAATTATCCATCGATTGTCACGTTATCATTTTTAATAACGTTTTGCATTTCCCAGGAATCCAAGTGGATTTTTCAATGTAGCAACGCTTTTCACGCCAAGTATGCATGCATAATAATACGAAGAAAGAGACAGAAAACCTCCCGAGAAGACGCCCCGCTCTCATCTAATGCAAACGAAGGCAAATTGACGCGTATGCATAATGCCATGCGATCAGCAGTTTCAGTTCCGCTGGGAACACGAGGACGCCAATGAATCATGACCCGAAATGACGAGGGCGTCTCCCGCGTCGAGGCCCTTGACCGATATGTGTATCTTGTTAATGAAACGTGAGCGCCGATTAATGTCCGATGCTCTTCACTTCCGGTAAGAGTACTTCTAGCACACGCTCCCACATGCACCAGCACACGTATTGGATCCGTCAAAGGGATCGATAGCGACTTCAACGACGAGTTACCATCGACATGTCTGAATTTCGTCAACTAATTCGATCCACACCTATAATGAGATTCGCAATATGTCATTGAAACAAGCAATATTATTATTATCGATTTCACTCGGTTTGCGAATGAAATCGTAATTGATGTTAGTACGTATTGATAACTATAACATGACACCCCCAGCTAATTACATTCAATGATGTAAAAACTGAAATTGCAAACTGTGTGGACAGATGAATAATTCCTATTTTTATTGCGATGTACGCAATGCTTAAATGTTATTACTGATTTAACCTGGGCGGCAAACAGCGTTCTATTATTTCTGACTTTGTGTAATAAACTTCTTTATATGACGTGGCTCTATTACTGATAATGAGCAGGCAATTGCGATGAACTGTTATCGAAAAATAACTAAGCTATTCCAGAATAATTGACTGTAATTATAAACGCATAAATGTTCTTACAATTACAATAGTTGTACAGTCATATATATAATAGAAATTTAAATTGTGTTCTAAAAACTTTTGCAAAACGAGAAACTATCGATAACATCAAATAAATTTATTGATAATATTAAGTTCAACTCAATCCAACCCCTGCGTATCTCTGCCATTTTATATTCCCCTTCTCTCTCTTTTTCCTTCAATATACCTTCTCACCTTACTCATCTCACGGATATCTTAACTAAGCAAGCGTAAAGAGCGATCAAGGCGGAGGCCGATATTGACTCATGGTGTACCGAATAATGCGTGATGACATGAGTTTAAAATAAACCAACCCTGTGCACAACACCCACCACTCTACAGCGCCCACGTAACCCCGAAGAATCGCCTTATCGTAAATATCATCGCCAACCCCTCTTATCATACCAGGCAACCGGAATATCGATAGTGGTAGGTAGTAATAAGAAGGAAAGAAAGGAAATGCGCGGGCGTAGCGGAATATCGCTCGGAACGACGAAAACGTGCAAATAATCACAGGGAGGAGGTTACAGTACGCATGCATGATTGCAATTCGAGAAGAAAACTTGTATTGTTTTCTTTTTATTTTTTCTAAACAGTTGCTATAAGCTAAAAATATCTTTGTGACTGACGTCAATCGAGCGTTTTATAGGCGCGCGCACACATGACAGTGCGCTTTATTTTACAATATCATAATTTTCAGAACCTATCGGAAGAGACAGATATAGTAATACACGATATACCGTTTTTGTGGTTTTTTTTTTGTGAAATTTTGAAATTTATTATCAAAAAATTTATTATCGGAAACGTGCTTCGTATGGTAAACGAAAAAAATAAACTTTACGATAAAGAGAGTAAAATTCGATAAAAAAAAGAGACGAATATTTTAGGGATAAAACAGTAATGGTTAATACCGCTTCGCCGATAAACGGTAATGTAGGAATAACGTGCCTACGTGGCCCACAACAACATTAAGCGGTTTAGTACGTTCGCTATGGTTGTAATACTATATAAGAGTGTGTGTGCCATTAATTTTAAATGTCGGTGGTTTCTATCGGAAAGAAAGGCCCATTAAAACGCAATCTATATACTTCATGATATACGATTCGTGAAACGTATCAATAATAGATACTAACTACTCCTAACAAAAATCGTGCGACTTAAAAAATAATGGGAGGAGGTAACAGAAAAGGGCAAATCTTCATTTTCCGCAACGTTAGTCAAGCAGCTCGACTCGAAGCATTTGCGTAATAAAAGAAAAATAATAGGCAACGCAACACGATGACGCCTGTTATGATAACAGCCGATAAGAGACTACACATTCATAAAAACACATTCCTTGCACGCGATTATGCTATTTCCACCATATTGCAGCTCAAATATTTATACATATATAATATAAAATATATTAAATACCAAAATATGTTATATTTTTACGTATGTAATTTTACGAGAAGAAAATATTTTATTTTCTCAAATTATTATTTTTTCAATGGTTATTATTTTTTCGGTTGTACAATGATCGTACAGACATCTAAAAAGTATAGCTTGTATATAATCAAGTGGATAAACTTATTTAATATTGATATTATTATATGTACATTATTATTATATATATTTGTAAATCTATTCGATTATAAAGAAGGTAAATTTTCAGAGAATGTGAATAAAACATGTATTTTGTACATGCAATTCTATATAAATTTTTTATAAATAAAGAATCGAAATTGAAAAGAAAATTTTATAAGGACAAAATTTAATAATTACCGTATATGTGTGCGACATCGACGTTTAATTAAAGTTTATAAAATTTTTACGGTCAATTTTCTAATAACCTTTAATTTCGTTCCTTTCACGTGACAAATTGCGGGAAATACATGTTCTTCTACATTTCATAAAAATTAAGGGTTAAAAAAATAATAAATATAAATAGAAAAAATGGAACTAATTTATATATTTTAAATGTATAAATTTATAGAATAAACATTATTAAGTATTAACATTTTTTTAAAACTCAATCTCATCAAAATACGCCATGGCTTTATAAAACATTATACACAAAATATTCCAGATTAACTTATACATTTTTTAGCAAATTTGACGTCAATCTCGTTTTTTTCTTTTTTATAATTTTTTAATTATTTTCCATTTAATTTCTGGAGATTACAAATAAACATCTTTGTTAAAATAGTGATGCAACTAAAATACAAAATATTCATATCTATTCATATTTTTGAGGACATACAAATTGTAAAATTACTAGCTCGATATATATATTATAATAATTATTATTCAATTTACTGTTCAGCGTTTCTCATTAAAAGAAAAGCAGAGAACAATGCGATGCATTGTGGAAAGTAACGATCCTAAAAAATAAACGATACGAACAGGAAAACAACGAGATAGCTGAGAGCCTAAATTAGGATAGTGGGTTAAAAGAACCGGTGGTATCAAACGTCATTACGGGATAATAACGATATCGTTGCATGCGGTATCGTTGTTCCATTGATAACAGACATGAGATTGCGGCGATGCGATAGAGAACGCAAGCTACAACACGAAACCGCTTTTTGCCTCGTAATGTTGAAATCTTGTGCACGCGCAAACGAAAATTGATATTGCGATATTTTCCCGATCTGCAAATTCGATGAAAATTTATTCACTGTAGCTTTTATTGCTCATGCAGAAAATCCGAACGAACTCATTAATAAAATAAAATAATTCTTGAGCTTCAATATTTAAAATGAAATATTCATAATAAGGAAAAGTATAACTGCAGAGAGCAAATACCGCAGTAATGTTAGCGTATACAATTTTTAATATTCAAAATATATTTATTTCAATGTACATTTTATCTTCTCATAAATATCAATTACCATAATCCGTACAAAAATGTTTCGTTTTTTTTTTCAAGCCATACTCAGTATATAATATAATGAAGGTAGAAGTAAAAATGCACTCTCAGTGAACTATAGGTAATTCAATACTTCAAGATATCCCTTCTTGACAGTTATATGACTGATAAGATACATTCCATTAAGGTGCGTCCATAATATCAACATAAATTAAAATCAAGAAGAATAATCTATAACATTTAAGAAGTCATTATAGACAATTTATCTACGTCAGAATTTACAAAACGAATTTATGAAAGAATTCATTTCGCAAATAGACTTATCAATTACGCGCTTCGTGAATAATCCCTTTTGCCTCATGCTGTTTTTATCATAAATGTGTTGCTTTACAAAGTATGCTTTTAAAAAAATCCCCGATCCAATCAAGAATCATTGCAAAGTACAATCTTCACGTAGAGTCGTGTTTGATAAACATGTGGTCGATGTCCCATTAACTTTATTCTTATTTATGCACTAAAAAAAAATATAGTCAATTTTAATAAA